CTGACATCTGTGCCAAAATCGCACAGGGCATGGGGGGGAAGGCTACACCAGGGACACACAGCAGTGCCGTGTGAAAATAAAGGAGCTCACACAAGTGTACCAGAAGACAAGGGAGGTGAACAGTCTCTCTGGTGTGGAGCCACAGACATGCTGCTTCAATGAGCAGCTGCATGCGATTCTAGGCAGGGACCCGACCAGGACCCCAACACTCTCCGTGGATACCTCCCAGGGGACCAACGCGGCCATGGGCAACAACGAGGAGGACATTGGTTTTGAGGAAGAGGAGGAGGAGAATGCACAGCAGGCAAGCGGAGGATCCATTCTCCCTGACAGTCAGGACTTTTTCCTAACTCTGGAGCCAATCCCCTCCCAGGATCCACTGGTGCGGGACTGTGATGGCAGGGAAGGCACCTTTTGCGAGTGCACACTTCTAATCACACTACAGGGGTTGAAAGCAATTGTGGTTACTGTTTAATTTGAGGTAAACAATTGGGATACAGTGGTGGCCAGTCCAGCCATACAAAGGGTGCTCCCCAGAAAAGCCTGTTTATGTGCCAAGAGTTTCCCCACCAAAAAATGTCCCCATGTGTGTCCTGACACCACCTACCCTTTCATGTGTGCTCACCATGCCTGCCTGCACACCGAAATCTGCTGCCCAGTGCTCTGCCGTGTGCTGTACCTTACTGGCAGGCTCTTCTTTTAAAACACAAAATTGGCCGAGCACCTCAGGGAATGTATTTACTGCTGTGAAGTGTTCCATTCATTGCAAGAGTTAACCTTCTGTTTTCAACAAATATGTTCTGTAAGGCTACCCTTGTGGGGTTTTATTTTCCTTGCAGCTGCAACCTTGTCTGTGGGTGCTTCCTCCACACCAGCACAAAGGCTGTCCCAGATTAGAAGGCAAAAAAAGCGGAGAGGGGAAGACATGTTCTGTGATTTGTTGTGTTCCTATGAGGCTGACAGGGATCAGCTCCATGCATGGAGGTTCACACTCTCAGAGCATACGCACTGGCCAAGAGGGCAGGAAAGCATGCAGGGAACAAGACCGTGACACGCAAGAGGAGATGTTGCAGCTTATAGGGGAGCAAACAGACATGTTGAGGTGTCTGGTTAAGGTTCAGGAAAGGCAGATAGACCTAGGAGTCCCACTGCCCCCAATGATGAACTAGCTGCCCTCCTCACCAAGTTCCATATCCTCCTCTCCCAGATGTCCTAAAATGTGTGTAGGGGTCCGTTATCCCTTGAACTCAACTCTAGGGGATGGTTCATGTAGCAGAAAGCTCTCATTCCCACAGTGATTGTAATAAGCCGTATGTCCCTGCCCCTCCCTCCCTGTGTTATCAGGCCCTTACCTGGTTACCATTGCTATTCATGGTTGTCTCTGTTCAGTGTTTGTTAGCATAATAAAAATGCATGAATTGAGGACAAGAGGCTCTTTATTCACTGTGCACACAGTGGTTGGTGGGGGGTTAGTTTACAGGGCAGTACATGCGAAAAAGGGGGCAGGTTGGTAAGGAACAACACACAGAACTGTCACATCCGTGTTGGGTCATTCATTAAACTGGTTTTCAAAGCCTCTCGGAGATGCAGTGCGCCTCGATGTGCTCTTCTTATTGCCCTGGTGCCTGGCTGCTCAGAATTGGCAGCCAGGTGATCTGCCTGAACCCCCACACCCCACCAGAAACTTTCCCCCCTTACTTTCACAGCTATTATGGAGCACACAGCAAGCAGCAACAACAATGGGAATATTGCTTTCACTGAGGTCTAACCCAGTGAGTAAACAGCGCCAGCGTCCCTTTAAACATCCAAAGACACATTCTACCACCATTGTGCACTTGCTCGGCCTGGGGTTGAATCGCTCCTTACTGCTGTCCAGGCTGCCTGTGTACGGCTTCATGAGCCACAGGAGCAAGGGGTAGGCTGGATTTCCAAGGATAACTACCAACATTTCAACTTCCCCAATGGTAATTTTCTGATCTGGGAATAAAGTTCCTTCTAGAAGCTTTCTGAAGAGACTGGAGTTCCTAAAGATGCGCGTGTCATGTACCTTTCCCGACCATCCCACGCTGATGTCGGTGAAATGGCCCTTGTGATCCACTAGGACTTGCAACACCATTGAGAAGTAGCCCTTATGGTTTATGTACTCTTTGGCAAGGTGGTCTGGTGCCAAGATAGGGATGTGTGTTCCGTCTATCGCCCCACCACACTTAGGGAATCCCATCATGGCAAAGCCATCCACTATGTCCTGCACATTTCCCAGAGTCACTACCCTTCTTAGCAGAAGTGAATTGATTGTCCTGGCTACTTGGATCACAGCAGCCCCCACGGTAGATTTACCCACTCCAAACTGATTTCCGACTGACAGGTAGCAATCTGGCATTGCAAGCTTCCACAGGGCTATCACCACTCACTTCACAATTGTCAAAGCAGGTCTCATTTTGGAATTTCTGCACTTCAGGGCTGGGGAAAGCAATTCACAAAGTTCCATGAAAGTGGCCTTACACAGTCAAAAGTTATGCAGCCACTGCTCCTCATCCCATACCCACATCATGATGCAGTCCCACCAGTCTGTGCTTGTTTCCCGGGCCCAGAAGAGACGTTCCACTGTGTCAACAAGCCCGGCTGCCACTGCCAGCGTGTGCGAATTGCTCCATTCCACGGCTTCCAGCACAGCTGTTTGTGTGGCATCACATTCTTCCGCACGGCGACTCCTGGCTAGGCTCTGCCAATACCGCAGGACAATGCGCGAGGTGTTTGTGATGCTCACAACAACAGCGTACATCTGAGCAGAGTCCATGCTTGCTGTGCTATGGCGACTGCATGTGTAACCCAGGCTTAGGAGCAAAAATGATTGTTTGCTGTTGCTTTCAGGGAGGGAGGGAGGAAGGGAGGAGGCAAGTGCATCATGGGAAGCTGACGACATGTACCCAAATAACTTGCGAAAATGTTTTTGTCCCATCAGGCAATGGGAGGCTAACCCAGAATTCCAGTCAGCAGCAGGAACTGTGGGATAGCTGCCCACGGTGCATCGCTCCGTGCGTCAATGCTACCCATGGTAGTGAGGATGTGCTCTGCCGACGGAATGTGCATAGTGGGGACATGCAGCATCGACTTTGTAAAATCAGAGGCTAAATGTCGACTTAAATAAATTTGACCTAATTTTGTAGTGTAGACATGTCCTAAGGACACACTGTGATCAATACTTTGGCCATCGATTTTGTGGGTCTAGTGAAGACCTGCTAAATCAACCACAGGTTGCTCTCCTGTTGACTCCTTACACCACTGGAACAGGAAGACTAAGGGGAGTCAACTGGAGAGAGTCTCCCGTTGACATCGCGTAGTGTGTACCCCGCGGAAAGTAGATCTAAGCTACGTCGACCTGAGTTATGCTATTAACGTAACTCAAATTAGGCTTTCATGCGTAGTGTAAACTACACCAACATAAGCCCTGTGCCTCTTGGAGGTGGAGTTATTATGTCAGGGTAGTAGGGCACTTACATCTGCAGCAGCAAGGCTGTAGTGTGGACACTGACATAATTAGATCGACATAAGCTGCCTTATGTTGACCTAATTCTCTAGTGTAGACCAAGCCTCAAGCTCCCATGTCCCAAAATGAATTTTGAAAATGGGACTTAAGCTCCTAACTCACCCAAGTACTACTGAAAAATGTACCCCATGCAAATTTAAAAGCCTAGCTTTACTCCATCATTTTTAAAAGCCTCAGCCATAACTTTCACAGAACCAAACCAAGAATCGGCCTACAGGGTGCTGGGAAACGGGCTTCTTCCCCC